CGACAGAGAGAAGGGCATGTGTCCATGTGTGTGTCTGTGTGTGTGTGTGGTGTCAACAACAAAACAGAGTGGCGGTTCATCTGGTTCGGAGGGCGGCAGTGGCGACAGCAGCCAAAACCCAGGCAGCGGCAGCAGTGGCAGCGGTGGCAGTGACCAGAGCGGCGGCGGCCAGCAGTCATCAGGCGGCGACCAGGAGAAGAAATAAACACACACGCCCATACCACTACACACCTACTGGCTGACTGACTGACTGACTGCATGTACTCTACCTCATCTCACACGCCCCCACGCCCATCCACACACACAGCCATGTGGCAGCAGCGCGTTTGTGTTTGCATGCCTGTGACTGACGTGTCCATGATATCAATGTCTTGTGTGTGTACCATTAGCCAGCCGACCGACCGACTCCCTGACGAGTGCTGCATTGCAACATTGCATGGGTGCGTGCCACTTTCTGGTGCTGCAGTGCATCCGTTGATCCCTGCCTGCCTGCCTGCCTGCCTGTGAAGGAATGATGCTGTTGTTTATGGACGTCTGTCTGTCTGTCTGTCTGTTTTTTTGCCTATCCGAAGGAATGGCATCACGCTTGCTCTTGCCCACCACACACAGAAAGAACGAAGCCACAGAGAGAGAGAGAGAGAGAGATCTGTTGTTGTGCCGGCTCATCACCTGGTGCGTTCCATGCTGCCCTTGGGCGGATCCAGGCAGTCGATGGGCCAGTGGTGTGTCTCGCTACCATTGTTCGGTCGGGTGCCTCGGCTGACCTTAGAGCGGTGGAGAGCGCCAGAGTGACACCGATCGATGCATGATTGAGAGAAGGGGTGTGACCTGCATTCGGGTGCCGTGAGGTGACACGTGTTGACAGTGTTGCACTTGTCACACCGCAGCAGGTTCACCTTACGGGATTCGGGCTGGCCCGTGTGTGACTGGCTGTTCATTTCATCATTGCAAGCGGCTTCTTTTCCCGTACCACAGCACGCCTATTTAACTGACCGAATTTGTGGGTGGGGGACTTTGATGGATAATGCAGGCTGGGCGAGATCAGATACATGTGTGTGTGGACGGATGGATGGATGGATGTGTGTGTGTACGTGTGAGTTTAAGCCCGACCCAGGCAGGTGGCCTGCAGAAGGCCGCTGTCAGCTAGCCATGGTTGAGATGGATGTGTGTGGATGTGTGTGTGCGTGTATACGTGACTCCTGCAGACGACACTTTTGATCAACTGTCATGCTCCTTCAACCGAATCTGCCAGTTGATGGGTCCACACACATTCATGGGTCAATCAGCGCACAGACAAAGGAAACTTCCCTGGGCCGTGCTGGCCTCACTTTTCGAAAAGGGACCTCAGTAGCATTGCAGACCCCCACCACCCCCAGGCTGCACACCCCGTCTGCTGTGAGTCGGTGGGAAATCCGTCCACGCAGCTAAGCATCACCACACGGACGGACAGTTAGATAAACAAGGTATACCTAGCAGGTAGGTAGCCTTCAAACGCATGTACAGGGATCATCCATCACCCACAGCACAGAGGGAAACGGACCTACGAAGAGTCATTGATCACCGCCCTCGCACACACGCGGAAAGCACAAGCGCGACAGACATGTGCAGGACCTTGTCGAATGTACAAGGGCCCTTCCTCGTGCTTGTGGTCTTGCTTGTCAGTCATTCACATTGTTTCTCTTATGTACACTTGTTCAAGATCGAGTAGCGGCCTCGATGCTGCCACCACGCGACACCCAGATACCTACGGCGACGACCGAGCAACACAGGCAGCCAGGCAGCCAGTCTCATGTGTGTTCTCTCTGCTGCAGTGTGTGTATGTGTGTGTGTGTGTGTGTGACTCTGTGTGTCTGTGTGTCTATGGTGCCTCTTTCTCACGGCAACTTCTGGACTCCGAGGTAGCCGGCCAAATCGGCCACCGTCACGCCATGCATCGCATCGGACGCCTCCACACACACCCTCAAACCCGACTGATCTGAACAAAATGCGTATACAGGAAGACGAGACGACCTGCTGAGTGACGGTAGGTTGTCTGTTGTGTGTCGTGTACCGTCCGACAAGGTGAAGTTGCGGTATGGGTAAATGACCTGATCAGGGTCGGGCTTCGCCTCCTTACTGTCCTTGCTCAGCTCGTCAGACCCTTCTTCGTGCTTCAAGTACAAGTCCACCGCATTGAGGTCCAGAAGCTCCGGCTCATCAGGCCGGTACGCACAGACCAACTCATGCTCAACCTCACGCAAACGGTCTGACAGCGCCTGTTGCCTTCGTGTCCTCTTCCTGGATGCCAGGGCTTCAAACTCCCTGAGGGCTTCTAAGTCCCTCTTCTCCTTATTGCGCCGCCTCGATTCCCTGCACGACGACACACACACAACAGCGCAGCATTCTTGTCATGTCATGGTCAACCAGAAATTGCCCCCCGACAACAAATCATCCTCACTGGAATCCTCCGTTGCCCTTCGGAAACCTATGCGGCGGGTTTGTCGGAAACCTCCATGATGGCGGTTGCTTCTGAAACCCACAGACAAGCAGGCAACAACAGCCATATTGATTCACTGTGACTCACCCAAGTGACTCACCTTCATCGCACCGTCAGAGATGGTCTCTCTGCGATGAACTTCGAAGCAATCTGCGACCCAGCTGAGCCGACTGGTGACGGGTCAAGCCGCTGCAGCGGGCAGCAGCTAGAGATCCCTCCCCTCCGCAATGCGAGCTTCAGGAGGGAAGCCCGAAGAACAGAAGCTGCCACACAGGAGCGCTTTGCATCACCCAGAGTGCTGACATCCATCCAACGAGTCCACTTGCATAGATCCATCCGTCAAACACATATACACATGCCGTTCATGGGGCCGTGCTGGGTCGGGCTGCAATGCTTCACCTCGCCAGCGCCACGCTACCATGATCTCAATTGTCAAGAGAGATCTCAGAGACGTGGCTCTAGACAGAGTCAGCATCGCAGACCCACCCTTGATGCACACCAGACGGACAGACAGACAGACACAGGCCGATGCATACAAGCAGCAAGGAGAGAAAGTGCCTCCATCGATGCATCAGGACAACCCACTCACCCACTCACATGGCCCGTATCATCTGATCTGACTGATGGACACCGACCGATGGACGAAGCTTGGGCTTCCTCGGCCTCTCTCTGTGTCTCTCTCTCGTGACCTTCGCCGCCACGGGGCCTCAAAGGAACAGTTGTGAGCTTGAGAGGTTAGGTGACAGCACCAGAGACGAGAGCTAGACCACAGAGAGCAAGCCATACAGCCATCAACCAGACAACAGACGAGCAGGCGCAGCAGCTGAATTCTGTCCATTGTCTGGCCAGAGCGCCATTTCAGCTTTCAACTGTCCCTGTCTCAGCTGCAGACAAATGGTCGGGAAGCTGGGGCAGTGACACGCTTCTGGGGTGACGCGCCAGAAGCTGTCACTGCCACAGGTCGCCGCCCAGCTGTCTGCTGCCGATTGCGACAAAGCTTCTGTCTGATACGCCGTGTGTGGATGCACTATAAATGTGTGTGCGTGTGTGCGTCCACACAGGGTTGTGTGCCTGCGTGTGAGCGTAAGAAACGAGTAGCGATACCCTCCTCCCTCCCTCCCCCCTTATCGCACATACACCCGCCAGCATGAAGGACACACATCCCGATATATAAAAGTCCCTTGCATTAATGCTTTGCCCGGGCCCCGCCCACTCTTCTGTTCAGAAGAGACGGGTACACGTACCCACACACACACACATATATCCACCTACGTGTACGCACCCACATTCATCGACACACAGCAGCAAAGCACAAACAGGAGCGCTACCAAAATCGCCATCCATCCATCCATCCACCCGTCACACACACGCTCCCTCGCATGCACGCGAGAGCGCCCCACCCGCCCCGCGCATCGCGCTCTCCGTTCGACAACACATGTTCCAAGACGGCACGCACAGCCTTCAGATGGATGTCAGTGTCAGAAAGGCGACCGCCCCGACGATGATAGTGACGAAGGTGGGCGCGGCAGCAAAGGCACCGCTGGTCGCCTCGCCCTCATCTGCCTCGACAGATGACATTGCGGCGGTGCCCTCACTCTCTGCCTGCACGCCATCTGCAGGCGCCTCAGTGGCCTCAGTGGCGATCTCGTCGGTGCTGCTGTCCTCTAGGGACAGTGGCTCGCCGCCGAAACACACAGCCGCTGACATGGTGGACACGCAGAAGGGCACAGATGGACGGTTGTCAGTGTGTGTGCAGAGTGGTGGTGTGCACCTATACCGGCTTCAGGGTTCGATTGGGGGTAGCAGTCGTCTGTGCCGTCCTCAACGATCACTGCAACAGCCAAGAGCTTGGTCAGGGCATATAGACATCACTGTCTTCCATGTGTGTGTGGTGCTTGCCTTTGAGCTTCTGCCCGCCCCCGCAGTGGCCCCCCGCCTGGCAGCCCTGGTTACCGATCTGCACACACAGACACAGACACGCACCAGAGCGTCTCTGCCTGTCTAGACAGTGTCGCCTGTGTGTGTGCGCCGACCGAGCAAGCAAGGTAGTATTCTTTGCATGGCCCCACAGTCCAGTTGAAGACGGGGTTGTTGGCGAAGTCCTGTGCTGAGTACTCCACGGTGATGTTGCCCTCGCCGATGGTACAGTTCTGGACACACACACACACACGCACACACACGCACACGCACACGCACACATTCATCTCCTGCCCACAACACACATACAGGGGCGCACGCACCTCGAAGGCCTCTCGATTGTTGATAAGGACGACGTCGTGGTGTATGTTGCTGACGAAGTTGAGCACCGTGTCCTGCCTGGCAGTGATGTCGTCGTACTTCACACCAACCGCCCATGTCGGCTGTTGCGCCACCAGCACCTGGATGGGCTCCGTGTCCGCCTGGGGGGACGCCTCAGTCACTGCGACAAAAACACATACACACAACAGTGATGCGTGTACTGCGTGTGTTGTTGTGTTGCCGACATACTCACCGTTGAGGACGAACCTCTGCCCCAGTTCGCAGTGGTCGGCGACGGAGCACACGATGTAGTAGGTGCCGACCTCCTCTGGCGTGAAGACGAACGGCTCCGGCATGCCCTTGTCGATCGCACCCGTCACCGTCATCTTGTCCTTCGCACAGCTCGTGTACGCTGCAGCCAGTGGGATAACAGACAGACGTACAGACACACAGTAAGAGAGACATCAACGGCTTGTGTGTGAAACCTGGCGTGCGTGTGTGATGTGCGTGTTGTGGGTGCTGGGCACCTTACCTTCTTCATCATCGGCGAGTGCGACATCGTGGAATGCCGGGTAGCGGAAGGACAGGCTCTGGCCCAGCGAGATCTCCATGTCCTCATACGGCGCGACGGCTGCACACACAACACAACACACACAACACAACACAACATACAAACACGCATGTCGCATGTGCTGCCTCTCTCTGACTCACTCCATATGAATCTCGATGCCTCCGCGGGGGTCACACCGATGGGGCTGCCCACCTGCGCCAGACTTGGCGCAACCAGACACACCAGACAGATCAGGAGAGAAAGCACCGACATGGCTGCGATTCGATGCTGAGGAGAAAGATGCAGGTCAGGGACGACAGCGCCGCAGCAGCCCTGCCTGACACTCAACAGATCTTTGGTGGACTCTCGGCGATCCACTTGCGAGCTCAGAAGAACTTGAAGATCTGTTTCAACCAAAACAGCGCCTGCCAAGGCCTGCCAAGAGCTCTCAGACAAGCGCTCACTCTGCCTACTGTTTTGCGTCACTGCTTGTGGATGTTGGTGCTGTGAGTGAGTGAGCGATTGCAAGATGCACAACCAGGTGGCTGCGATAGTGGTGCTGGACAGCGACGGGGGGCGGATTGCCGTCAAGTACTTTGGGGAGCACGACGACTTCAAGGACTTTGCAGCGCAGCAAAAGTTCGAGAAACAGCTCTCAGAGAAGTCAAACAGGCTAACCGGGCGCAATGACGGTGGGCGAGGGAGGCAGGCACACACACACATACACACACACACACAGAGAGAGAGAGAGAGAGAGATGGAGATATATATAGAGAGAGATACAGATGGGCCAGCGCTTCACTCGCTGCGTGTGTGTGTGTGCGTGTTGGGATGGTGCAGTTGAGATCATGATGGTCGGCGAGTATTTGGCTCTGTTCCGGTCTTCGAACGATGTGGTGGTGTACCTGGTGGGCGAGGGGGATGAGAACGAGCTGATGCTGCTGGAGCTCATGAACGCCATCTACCAGTGCATCTGCACTATCACTGGGTAGGTTGGTGGGTGGCTGGGAGAGAGAGAGAGAGAGAGAGAGAGAGAGCTGCTCTGTGTATTTGGTTTGGTGTGCTGCCTGTGGCTGACGTGTGACGTGTGACGTGTGTGTGTCATCTCACCTCCCATACCTTCCTTATCTCATCTGCCTCAGGAACCAGGTGTGGCGTCGGTCTCTGCTTGAGCACCTGGACTCGCTGTTCCTCATGCTCGACGAATGCACGGATGGCGGGTCAGTCAGCGGGATGGACAGAACGACGCGGCACACACGGCTCCCTGTGTGTCTGTGTGTGTGTGTGTGTAGGATCATCTTCGGGACCGACCCTGCTATCATCACACAGCGCAGCAACATGCTCGAGGGAGAGCCGCAGGAGGGACAACCATTCCAGGCGGTGAGCGACCAAAGTCCCGTCACACTTGCACGCACAGACTGACGCGAATCGCTCCACCCCTGCCTGTGTCTATCTGTGTGTGCCACCATAGGCCTTGGCGAGTGCCCGTGAGCACATATCGAGGCAGCTCTTCAGCCAGTCGTGATGGAGTGAGGGATGGATGTTGCTGTGTGAGAGTGACAAGACATCGATTGCTTGATCGGTGTGTGTAAGTAATTAGTGAGCCCTGCTTCTGCTGCTGAAGACTTCCAGGGCCATCTGTGGACCAACGAGATGAGGTCAATGTTGACTTGGCAGACAGGCAGATAGACACCTGCTGCGTGTGCTGAGTGAGGTGTGAACGAGTCGATAAATGACCGCGGGCACGGCAATCCAACGCAATCAGGGCAATCTTGCCCGACACACCGAGACGCCCATCCCTCTCTAGTCCAGCCGCTCCAGCCCAGCTCTCAAGAGTCTGTCTGATCTGACACACGGAGGCATGTAGGTGCCCAGCAGCTGCATGCTGGCGCATGTATGTCTTCACACACGCAGGGCATGAGAGTGGTTGAACCATCGGCTGGCCCACACAGCAACTACCAACTCCCAACAAAGCCATCCGCCACCCATCCATCTCACACCTCAAATCTCATACCTCATTGCAGCAGCACAGGCACATCACGCCATTACACGCAGAAGGGGGAGAGGAGGGGAGGGCCCCATGTGTGTCTTTTGCACGCGGGACGCCCAAAAAACCATCACCCACACGCATCACTCACTCACGCACGCTCACGGCCTGTCTGCACTCACTGTCCTGATCGAATTGATACATGCATCGTGCAGTGCACTCATCTCTCTGTCGCCCCCAACCCACCCCAAGCTCTCCTGCCCTGCCTACTCATCAGACTCGCCGTCCGTCGGCTGTTCGCCGCTGACGTACATCTCGTACCAGATGGGTATTAGCAGCTTCTCGTAGACATTCAAAAAGACCCGCACCAGCTGGATGGGCTTGTCGTCATACACACCCACGATGCGCGCCTCGTCGTAGATCAGCTTGAGGGGCGGGGGGTTGTCGAAGGGGTACTTCTGCCGACCCCAGGGCGACACCTCGTCCGGGCAGTCGGTCTTGGAGACGGAGTAGTCGTAGATGTAGGACTTCTCATCGTCGAGCCGCTTGTGCTTGTCAGGCAGCTTGCCGATGGACGCCTTGGCGGGGAACCATGTGACCTGGCTCTTGAACAGCTGCACACACAGAGGGGGAGGGAGGGCAACACAGACACTCACACAGATGATGCGGCACACACAGGGTGCGTGTGTCTGTCTACCTTGGAGCCGTCGAGCGGGTTGAGGAGAGAGAAGTGGAAGTGGAAGTCCTCCCCCTTGCAGTGCGTTTTCTGCATGAAGGTGCCCTCCCAGGCCAGCCCGAACAGCTCCTGGTACACATAGTCGAAGGGGAAGGGCAGCATCGTCGCTATGACCTCGCCGTAAGCCGGGCCCAGCATCATCTTGTCCTCAATGCACCCTGCACACACACACACACGCATAGGCACACGCACAAGCATCCGTGTGGACGTCGCCATCCGCTGGGCTGCGCTGCTGACCATGTGTGAAGATCTCGTCGAGTTTCTTTGGGTCTAGTTTCCTCAGTTGCTTCGGGTGGCTGATCGGGTGGTCCTCCCTGTCGAGGCAGCCGCAATTTGCCAGCGGCACGAGTGCCAACAAGCAGGCAACGACACACACTCCAAAGCTCTTCATCTTGCCCCTTTCCGTTTCGGGATTCTCAGCTCCGTCGCCTCCGGTCAGTTGTGTTTACACGACTGTACGGTGCCCGTTGCGTTTTTGCGAGCCAGAGACATGACTTCTTTTTTTCGCAATACGGTTTTGATTGGCAACATCTAAAGCGACATTATGTATGTCGTATTAGCCGTATCGGACACAGACAGCCATACACACACACGCACACATACATACATACATACATTCCCGTATAAACACAGACATACATTCGCTGGCACAGACACGCACCACATAGACCAAAGGGCAACATGAAGGAAGGAAATGGCGGCAGGAGTTATATACATGTGACAAAGGAGGCATGCAGGCAGACACGCAGCCAGATGGATACCCGCTCAGCTCTCGTACAAAACCGGCCGCGCACACAGACAGATACAGTCGTCTGAATTAGGTGATGACCTGCCTCGACTACTGACAGCCTCCTATGTGATGCCACACATTTGAGCGGCGCCTCTGAGCTGCTGTACATATGACCTCTACTCGTCTACCAACGTATCCCAGCAAAACCTAGACATATATACAAGGGAAATATATACAAACCTAGACACGTTTCAATGCAAAACCAACGTACCTAGCTAGACATATATACACTGAAACGTACAAAGCATTAGGGAGGCAGGCATGGCATGGCATATATGGATCCATCGCTCCGTCATCTGTCTGTCGTTTCTTTGGTGTCTTCGTCATCGCCATCCTTGTCGTCGTCATCGTCATCGTCACCGTCACCGTCGTCGTCGTACACGGGTGTCTCGAGGCTGTAGATCTGCACCAGGGGCCAGTACTTGCCGAGGTTAAGGTACACCAACCCCATGTAAAGGCCCTTCTTGACCGTGACGAGCTCACGCACGTCGTCCACCACCAGATTGATGCCAAAGGGGTTCCAAAGGGACACGATCTTCATGCTGGTCGTCGGACCTGGGTGATTGATCGGTCAGCAAACACACACACATAGACAGAGAGGGAGAGAGGGAGGGGGGGGATGGCAAGTGCGTCATAGAGCAACGAGGTGGGGGCTGGATCTGTCACCACACCTGGGCACATGGCTGGCTTGATGTCGTATCTGATGACGATGCTCTGCTTGTCGTCGATCCTCACGTTCTCGTTCTCGACCTGCCCATGATACAAGTAGCCGGGCGCAGCTGTGACACACAGAGAGACAGACAGATCGATCCTCACAGCCCGACGAGTGTGTGCACTTGTGGCCGGAGTGCGTGCGCACCGATGATGGCCTGGGCGAGGTACTTGTCTGATATGACGGGAAGGAGAAAGTGGCCGGGGTCCCACATGTTGAAGTACCAGTTGAAAGGCTTGCCCTGGCACTTGGTCTGCAGTGCACGCAACGGACATGGACAGATGGATCACACATCAGAGATGCGGCGGGTGTCCTTTCCTCTCCTTCACAAGCCCACTGACCTCCATGAACAGCTTGCCCGTCCAAATACCCTCCTCGAAGAACTGCAGGAACCGCTCCACCACCTTCAGCCCAAGATCACCCAGCACCCTGGCCACATCAGAGAAGTCTCCTTCGCCCACTGTTCTGCTGCTGTTGGTCGTGTTCAGCCCGTTCATCAGCGCCTCATGGAAGAGCTTCTGGCCCGGCAGGAGGTCGTCCACCTCACCAGTGGTGTTGTACTTCTTGCGCAGGGAAGCCAGGGTGTCCTCTCCCTCTGCCGACCTCATCTCCCTCTCCAGGCGGGCCAGCCGTCCCTCCCCCTCTGTCTCTTGAAAATAGAGCTCCAGGTCGGGCAGGTGCTTCTGCACGCGGCCGAATGCCATACCCAGGGGAAGGTCGCCCTCCCCCGAGCCCTCATGGAAGAGCTGCAGCAGCTCCGCCACGCTGTATTTCTCAAGCTCGTCTGGGAAGAGCAGGCCGCCGCCTTCTGGACGGGCTGACGCTGCGGCAGATGAGGCGGCAGCGGTCTTGTGCACCGGCTCCTGCCTCTCTGGCTCTTGCTCGGCGGTTGCTGCATGGGCATGAGCATTCGTCGGCTGTTGCTGCGGCTCTGCTCCTGATTCTGCTTGCGCTTGTGTCTGTGCTGCCGGGGCAGCCTTCATCGGTTGCTGGGCCGGCCGAGCTGCATGTGCCGTTTCTGCTGGCGCCGATGAGGCCGAGACGCTCGGCCCGCCCCGCCACCACTCCTCCCATGGCCAAGTGGCAAAGGAGGGGGTCAGGAGGGACAGCAACAGCGCGACACTCAGCAGATTCATCGCCGCCGCAGCTGGAAGGGTTTGCCTAACGGTCGGCTTCCACGGCGTACAAGCCGGAAGCCGATCAGATGATGCGCGGTTTTGCGTGTCTGCTGGCGCTTTGCGTGCCGCTGGCTCACTGCGGATGCCTGGACAAAGACGACCACCCCGTCAGCACCTTGTCGGAGCTGAGAAATCGGACCAAAGAGGAGCTGGACGCCATCTACTTGAAAGGCAAGCGTACACGAACAGCACGACGCATCTCTGTGTGTTTGTTGAGAGGGGGCTGGCACATTCATGCCATGCAGGCTGCATCGACGACGACTTTCTGCTCGGCCCGGCCTACGGAGAGGTCATCTATTCGGTGCTCCCGTCATTGGCTGGCGACTTGTACAGGGAGCTGTTTGGGCTGGCCTGGGAAGGGTCCTTCATGCAGAAGACCAGGTGCAAGGGGGAGGACTTCTACTTCTTCTTCTCTCTGATGAACCCTCTTGACGGGGCCAAGGTGAGCTGCCACCATGGACACACACACGACAGATGGTCTAATGTACGTGTGTGTGTGCGGCCACCCTCTCTCTCTCTCTCTCTCTCTCTCCCTGTCTGTCTGTCTGTCTGTCTGTCTGTCTGTTTCTGCAGTTGGCCCAAAGCCAGATCACCTTCTTCCCCGCCAAGGCGTACATCGGCCGGCTGCCCGACGAGAAGGCGCAGCTCGACGACTGCGAGGCGTACATATACGACTACTCCATTTCAAAGACCGACTGCCCGGACGAAGTCTCACTGCTGGGCAGACAAGTGGGCAGGCAATGGAGAGAGACAGAGACGGCATAGGTGGATGGATGGCATTGTGTGGTCTCTGCTGTTTTGGTGCAGAAATACCCGTTTGACAACCCACCGCCGATGAACATGCTGATCGATGAGAGCAAGATCGTGGGTGTGGACAAGGACAACAGGCCCGTACAGCTCAATCGGGTGTTTGTCAAGGTGTTGCCCGGCGTGCTGGTGCCCCTGCAGTACGAGGGGCTCCTGGGCAACCCATTGTGAGATGATGCGGCTGTACAGTGTGCACCTTTGTGTGTATAACGGGACGGAGGGGTGCGTGTCGATATCGGTGTGTATATATGTGTGTGCGTGTGTGCGTACGTGTGTGGTCTTCTGGTGAGGTTTTACTCAGGTCAATATATTTATTCAGGTCAATAGGTTTATTCAGGTCAATTAGTGTGTGGGCGGGTGGTCGAAACGACCTGATATTTGCTATGGCCTCTATTTGGATAACTCCTGTATGTGCGCCATCTGTGTGTGTGTGTGTGTGCGCGTGGGTGTGTGTCTATTCCGCCCAGAATAATACTGACACCTTATCTCTTTCACATGATGTCAGAAGTGCCGTCCGCCCACCACAGTCCGTCCATCCATCCATTCACTCACAGCACGCACACTCCACGCAGATCGCATCAGATATCAGATGGGTGGGAGGGTCAGCTATTCACAGGTTGAGCAGTAAGTGAGCGTCGTGCTGGCCGAGTGTGTTGCGAACCAGCTGGATGGTCAGGGGGAACTTCACTTCGGCAGGCTGCTCATCGTCAGCCTGCTGGGCCTCCGTCGTGTACACTGAATGAAAGAAATAATCAACCAAGTCGCCGTCTGAAGCGAGCGCCGTTGCTTCCCTGTTTGCTTGCTTACGACAGGCTATGGTGCCGCGGTCTCCAGGGTTAGGTGCCTTTGTCAAGTCGACGACTTCGAGGTAGCAGATGAAGGGGTCCCCGGGTTGGTCGCCGCTCAGCGTGATGGTGCGGAACGTCACGTCATCACCCATCGTCGACATCACCCTCGTGCGGCCCCAGAGGGCTTCATCGGGACTCTGCAGACAAACATGACATGTGTGCAAGTATGTGTGAGCATGCAGATCTGTGCACCACACCTGGCTGCAGAGTTGCACGGTGCGGAGGAGCCTCGGGCTCCCGGGTACGCCCAGGTGGCCCACACCATTCACCTCATGCGCCAACAACTTACCCTGCAAACTGCACCGACACACACACACACACACACACAACCACGCAGGTACAAGTCAGCTCACTCAGCAGCACATTAGTCAGCCCCAGAGTCGGCCTACCACTTGACTACGGCATCGCGAATGCTGCGATATGTGTCGCCATTGACTGCACGCATCCATGCACCACACAACAGATACATCACAAGTAGTACAGGTGTCGTCACTCGCTTATGCCAGCCACCGATGTGCGTGCAGACGTACGTGCGATGGGCGGGTCGGCCAGGTCAAAGTCCGCGAACGGATGGGGGACTAACGGGTAGTTACCCTCCTGATAAGCCGCTTCATCATATAGTTCCTCCAGCTCAGCCACTCCCATCTCATGCCCCCCGTGCACCTGCATGGCGAGATACAGGACAGCACAGCACATGACAGCGCGCATTAGACAGATAGAGGTTGGTCGGATCGACCCCTCCCCTCCCCTCCCTCTCCTTGCCTGGTCGTACAGAATGGCATCGGGCCTCGCGTGCCCAGCAGGGTCGTACAGAATGGCATGCCCGAACACCGACATGCACTGCTTGCCCATCATCTCCCGATAGTACTTCTCGGCCCCCGGCAGGCCGCACTTGCTGCGCGACAGCGTCACCTCCCTCTTGCCCTGGAACTGCTGACTGATGATCATCCAGTCGCGGATGCTCTCGGCACGGCTGTCGAAGACGGCCTTCTTGATGCTGCACACAGCATCTCCGATGGGGATGGGCAGCGTCTTGAGGCGGCCACACGTCTTGGCGTAGACCAACACGCCCTCCCAGCCCGCGAACCGGCCGCCGTTCTCGAGCAGGTACAGTATCATGAGCAGCTTGGACCTCTTGCGACTCTCACCGTTGATGCGACGAGTTGATGCCGACACGCTGGGCTCCTGAACACACACGAAGAACGCACCACACGCCCCCCCGTCGGCCTTTTTGTCATTAAGTAGCAGCCTGCCACGTGTACTGCAGACCTGAAACTGCACAATGTTGTCGAGGTTGTTGGTTTGGATGAAGTTGGTGATGCGCGTCCTCACATAGGCATTGCTGAGGAGCTCGTTCCGGTGCTTGCAGACAGCAACGAGGCGCTGCACGTCGTCGGCTGAAACGAAGGTATGCAAGTGGCCATCCACACCCGGAAGCTGGGCATCGCCTATCAGCGTAGCCAAGTAGTCTGGCGGCGCATTCATGCCGAAAACCAGCACACAATACTTTGCATGCAAGAGCTCGCATCGATCCTACCTCGTTTGTCACTGGGGGCTTTTGCTGCTGCTGTCTGCGCAGCAGCTTCACGTGCCATCATTGTTCGCCTCAGCTGGCGTCTGAGATTGCGTAGATATTCATCGCAGACAGCCCACCGTGGCTGGCAAGTTTGCTTCATGTACTTCTCTGTCTGATGCGCCGAGTACGGCAGCCGCAGCCGGTTCACCGACAGCCGGCAGAAGGCCCTCCTGCCGGTGCTCGCCACACTGCTCGCATTCGACAAGGTGGGTACCCCTCTACACACGGACAGACACAGCAGGGGACAGAGAGAGGAGTGCATGGCGTGTGTGCCGATGGCGTGCCTGCAGGACGAGATGGAGAAGCTGCAGATCGATCCCTCGACGCTGCCGCCATCCGTCCACCTGCCGATGGGCAGGACCAACTCACGGCAGATGACGTGACATTGATCGCTGATGCGACGAGGGGAGAGCCGTAAAGGGTGTGGGTGGGGTGGGCGTCGTGTTTTTAGAGGGAATGCATGGCACGTTCTTGAGTGGATAACTGGATGGACGGATGGATGAATGGACAAGCTGCCGGACGGTTGACTTCTCTCTCTTGTGCACTGTGAAGAACATGTGTGTGTCTTCACGAGCAAGCAAGCATTAATTTGCCCGTAGGTCACTCCCCGCTGCGAATTAGCCGACACGTCGACGCGAGACATGAATCAAAAGGACTACGGAATATAAAACGTAGGCAGCGATGTGCCGGTGAGGCCACACTTCTCGTAGTCAGCGTCGTCCATGGTGCTGCCACCTGGGGCCGGGTGTGCCGTCCTCTCTGCCACATCGTCCAGAGAGTGAGAGAGAGAGGTAGGCCTCCACCCTCACACTCGCACACACGTCGGCGATGGTCTCGTCGCAGTACTGGCGCACCAGCTGCTTGAGCACCGAGGGCTTTGGTGGCCGGCCCTTGTCGTCGCTGCTGCAGCACTCGGCCCAGCGCCACGGCGCGCTCCTGCCGCTCGGTGGTTGACAGCCGCCGGGCCTCCTGCCTGATGTCCGCCACGGCCCTCTGGTACATGCCCACGGCGCGTCTGGCGGCCTCGTCGCCCAGGTCCGCCTCGGCGAGGTGACTGAAGTGGTGCAGCACGGCCCTAAGCTTGTCGGTGGCGAAGTGGCGGAGGTGCCCGGCGGTGGGGCCGTCGAAGGAGAGGAGCAACACGGCGAATGTGGCGGGGGTGTAGTCGTTGACCTCCTTGATGTCATAGCCGTAGTCGCCCCTCGCCCACGTCTGCAGATGGTGCAGCGACAGGTGCAGCGGGGCCGGGTGGCTTTGCAGGGGAGGGAGGCCGGTGGGTGGCTGGGGGCCGGGCGTGCCGTCCTCTCTGCAGGGGGCTGTGGGGTGTCGGGCCCGCAGGACCTTGCGCAGGCTCTCCAGGTCGGTGACCTTGAGCTCGCCAGTGGCCTCGTCCGCCACCAGCAGGTTGCCGTAGTGGTAGTCGTTGTGCGTCACGCCCAGGGCGTGCAGCTCAAGCATGCACAGCAGCGCGTTGACCCCCACCACGGCACGATAGTCGTCGCTGCCACACGTCGAGTCGAAAATCACGTCCTCGAGCTCCTTGCCTGCACACATACAGACAGACAGACAGACAGACGGATACACATTGATGGAGACAGAAAAATGAATGACACAATACAAAGATCTGTCTCGATTTGTGTGGTGTCTCTCTGTCTGTCTGTCTGTCTGTCTGTCTGTCGGCGAGTGAGTGAGTGGGAGGGTGCGTACCGTTGCCGACTTTGTCAAATACGGCGTAGTGGTCGCCGAAGTGGCCCTGCCCCTCTGTCTGCGGCTCTTCGGGCTGCCTGTTGCTGCGGATGTGCACCTGTGGTACGATGTGGGCCGTCCCGGTGTGGGTCTCGGGGAGGCGATTGTACTGGTGCTGGTGGTCTTGTCCCTGGGCGGCCGTGGCGAACGAGTTGATGTAGTAGGCCCACTGCCCCTCGGCCTCCATGTTGACCCCCCGCAGCGACTCGTTCCACTGCCTGTCGAGGTGCTCGGCGGTCCTCTCGCTGTCGCGGCGCTGCGGGTCCCCTCTGGCGGCCGACTTCATGATGACAGCGTGGCGTGTGGTGGTGACGCCGCCCTCGGTGACGTGCAGTCGCCCCTCCAGGATCTCGCAGTGGCCCCTCCCGCCCGTCAGCCGCTTCTCGGCCACAAACGTGACGCTGTCGGTGAGGACGAACGCCAGTGGAGGAGAGGTGGCCGTTGGCGACGACGGGGCGGACCCACAGGGCACAGACATCGG